ACAAAACGCACTGTTCTTCCGGCTGAAATACTCATGTATGAACTCTGCTGTCTCTATTCTGATCATTCGACATTGTAAAGTAATATTCTGAATTTCCTTTGGTGATTACAAACGTCCTTTAAGATCTGCTTGATGATTCATCTCTAAGCATTTCGCATTCTTTCACAAATCAGCGTAATAACGTGGGAATCAACTACTGTATTTTGTTAAAAAAAATGATTCATTGTTACGAATTTTACGCTTCCCGGTTATTTAGAAACCCCGCTATTTGGAACTTTTTTTCCATTTCCCTTGGGACTTCGAAATAGCAGGGTTCAACTGTAATTTGCATTCAACTTTGGGCTTGCGAACTCGCACAATTAACTTACTAACGGTGCGTGAAATTACAAGACTTTTAAAATAGTTTTTCATGTCCTCGAGATAGAACGGAAAAAACGTCAGACAAAATTGAAATAGAGAGTTTTCAGCTCCACTTTGTGTATATGTGTTTTGTTTATATATATCCGAGTTTTAGAGCTAAATAAGAAGACATAAACTAAATTGAAATAAAGGCTTTTCAACTCTACTTTGTGTATGTGTTTTGTTTATATTTCTGATCATGAGTTTTAGCGCTAAATAAGATATAGGAAGCCGTTTCTCGCGTTGTTACCTATGCGATAAAATAATGTTTTACGTGCTGCTTCTAATTTCTAAATACTATTTTGACATTGTCGGTAATAACTGCGCGGCAATGAAAACGATTTGAGACTAATTACAGATTATCTTAATTTTACTTATGAACAACATCATACAGAGTTCGGATGAATCCATCTATAATGGCTTTTAAAGAGGTGAGTTGAAACAAGTGTCAGTTACGCATTTAAAACGAGTCACAAATAAAAGCTGTCAGTCACAGCGTCTTTTTGTGAAGGAAACGCCGGACGTGCATCAAAATATGATCCACTAAGTATTAAGGATTTTTAAAGAGTTGAAACAGGTGCCAGTTGCGCATTTAGAACGAGTTATAAATAAAATCTGAGTCACCGCTTGTTTTTGAAAGAAAACGCCGGACGCGCATCAACAAAAGCTGAGAAATAATCGAAGATGCTGAACTACTCTTTTATCTATAAGAACGAATCAAAACCGGACAACATTGGAAATATGGACAACAGTTCTAACTTTGAAACTATTGTTGTCATAAATTGTATTCTGAATGCTCCACTGATGCTAACATCCATCACTGGTAATGCTTTGGTATTGGGCACTATATTGAGAACTCCTTCGCTTCGTTCAGTACCATCTACGATCTTTCTATGCAGTCTTGCTATTACAGATTTTCTTGTTGGGCTTATTGCTCAACCTGTTCACATTGCCAATGAACTTCAATATTCAGCTGGTGGGCCTCTTACCACAGTCGAAGACTTTATATCTGTTTCACTTTGTGGTATTTCCCTAGCAACAATGACAGCCATAAGCGTAGATCGATTTTTAGCCCTCCACTATCATGTGACGTATCCCAATTTGATGACCACAAAACGTGCAATGAATACTTCAGCAAGTCTCTGGTTTCTTTCCATACTTTTATCATGCCTTAGGGTTTGGATAGGAAGCTCTTTTATCCTTATTATGGGAGTTTTTATTGCAGTTTTTTTTGTCATTTCGTGGGCTTCTTACATCAAAATTTATATCATTGTTCGTCATCATCAGATCCAGATTCACGCTCAACAACAAGCTGTGAACAGTTTTCATATTAGTTTTAATATTACAGATGGTAATAACCTGATAATATCAAAGAAACGTGCTTTAAAAACTTTTATATACTTCATTTGCATGATATTTTGTTATCTACCATATCTATTTTATTCACTGCTAAGTAACACCTCAGTTATAGCTCTTGACAGGAATTGGTCCTTTGTATATACTGTTGTGTTCTTGAACTCGTCGGTAAATCCATTTTTGTATTGTTGGTGTAATCATGAAATCCGCACGTCGGTTGTAAAGATAATACGAAAGATGATGTGTAGACAAACAGAGGAAGCTCACTAGGTAGTGGCGTTGCATTAAAGTTCATTGCAAAAAAATTTGCCCCATGGAAAGGTTTCCAAGAAAGTCTGGGATTCTGAATTCCAAAGCCGTGGATTCCGGATTCCAGGTATGGTGCGAAAAATGATGTATAGACAAACGAAGGAAGCTAGCGAGCTTGAGTGTTAAAATTGTATTTGTAAAGAGCGGAATATAATACAGATCTTTACCACGCTATGCAAACTTTCCTGAACCATTGCCTAAAAACGCAAATTTTGTTTCCGCAAAGGTTTTTGTGCTGTGATACCACACTTATGATCTGTCGAAACCAAATTTCGCAGCGAGACCTTCAATCTGTATACATTGCTAATATTTTGCCCACGCGTGCGCAGTCTGCAGTTCCCTATCTGTTGAAAATTTGAAATACTTTAAGTATGCCTTACTTTGCGATAACCAGGAGTCCATGAATCCATTTATATTTCAGCAAGTCTGTTTTTTTTACATTCTTTTTTTTTGCCTTAGAAATGAACTCATTATACCCGTCTGCACAACGTTTGAATTTTTTTTGCTTCCGTGTCTTATCAGGGGCGTATCTAGGGGGAGGCTGCAGGGGGTGCGTCCCCCCCCCCCCCCCCCCCCCCGCGGGCGCCGCCCCTTTTTTACAACCAGTTTTTTTACAAAAAAAAAAAAAAAAAAGGTGATTTTTGTTTTAGTGAGGAAAATAGAGCAAGGCCCCCCCACCCCCAAAAAAAACAACACCCCCCCCTCCGTCTCACAACGTACTCACCCAACAAATACTCATTTTTTTT